ACCCAGCTACTGGGTAAATACCACCGCACATCACTACCTTGGAGTAACGAGGGGAGTTGAAAACAAGGTTTTTACTATTTCGTTTCCATTTTCAACTGTTTTATTCGCCGTATTATTTTTATCGATGTTTTTCCACCTCTTCAAAGTCATTGACATAGAGTGTGAACAACAAACTGCACTTTTCTTTCTTCAAAGTTATAGTACGCGTCTCTCCATTGTCTGTATGCTTCGTCACTTCGCTCACTTGGCTTTCATAGGTTAAATATATTATGTGCTGCAAGTAGTCATGAATATTATTTACAGTACTGCGTTATGAGACGATTATTGACCTAGGAGTATCGAGAGGAGTTGAAGACAAGGTTCACTTTGGACTTTTTTATTTCGTTTCCATTTTCAACCGTTTTATCCACTGTATTATTTTTATCGATGTTTTTTCACCTCTTCAAGGTCATTCCCACCAAACACAATTATGTAAAATTGACATAAGTGTTACATAACTGATAATACGTTATGTAACTATGTTATGTAAGACTAACATTACTATTATGCCGAAATATCCGTCACAAATACTATATAATCTTTACGTAACAATTATGTCACTATTTTATATATATTTTATATAATTTAAATGCTATAAATATAATATTACGAATATAACAAACTGACATAAATATTACATGAAAACAAAATTATGTAAAACTCACATTCCTATTATGTTGAAATGTCAGCTACAAATATAACTTTATTTTTATATAATATTGATGAAACTACTTGACTATTATCAGAAATGAATATCACAAATAACTTCTTCACCACACCAACTCACTTCACAGGCATATCCACATATTGATAACTAAATTATCATCTCAGTAGGTGATCAACACTCTACACACTAAAATATCTATACTGATATTACTGATGATGATATTATATGGTTATAGATATGTGCATATGAGTTGGAAGTGGGCTAGTGTGGAAAATAAGTTATTTAGCAATTTTTGATTGTGTTGGAAAAATTTAACAGAGACAGATTAGTCATAAAATACTTGGTGGTTTATTATTTCCTATTTCATTTAGTATTTACTTTAATTCTCCTCACATGGTACAAAAGAACTCGGCACAAAAGTTTTCAAGACTTTCTGTTCCAAACATTAGGCATTATAGTATACAGTATAATTGATCAGTTGCTGACTTAAAAACAAAAAAAAATGGGATAAACATATAGGCTGGATAATGTTCAAATAGAAAAAAATGGAATGTCCTAAACAGATGATGATAAAACAACATCAAATATCAAATGAAAAACATGACCAACAACTTTCTTTGGAAATAATGAGACCTATTCTGTATTCTTCAAATATTCAAAAAATTCAAATTGTGTCTTTCTTCTTCATCTCTCTATTCAACCCTATTAGAGTGGGATATCAAAGGGTGTGTGATGATGATGGATTCTGAAAAAATATTGAGTTTGTTTATAATTTTTTAAATAAAAATCAAAAGAATATATTACCAAATAGTGATCATTTATTGATCGATTTGAAATCTCTGACTTCAATGTTTCCCGCCCATACCAGGAACATTAATTGTGTGACCATTTCATTAGTAAACAATAGGACAAGGCCCCTATATAGATAGTCTCTCTCATCTTTACCACCTTGAGTTTTGAAAAGGCATATTTGATAAAGAGGGTAAAACTGCACTTTTCTTTCTTCAAAGTTATACTACGCATCTCTTCATTGTCTATCTGCTTCGTCACTCCGCTCACTTGGCTGTCATGTGCCATAGTTCTTCTGAAATATCAACAATTATTCCTCCTTTGGCAGTCCCCGCGAGATTAACCCGTCGAGTTGAGGCTTCGCACCCTTTCGTGGTCACTTTGGAGACCTGCAGAACATCTATTTCCAAAGACTCGTTCATCCAACGAACAGCGAGGCTGGAATACATTGCCAGTCCCCGAGGCATATAACCTCCAGAAATTTAAAAAGAACACCAATTCCTACCTCATTTCCCTTGGTTCTCACGATGTTCTCTGAACATTACAGGATATTCCTTTTCGTGGGGACCAGAACATAAATAAAAACGGGCGTTGCGGTATTTGTGCCAAGTAAATAGACTGAAAAATAAAAACAAATAGCTCAAAGTCATTTCCACAAAATGTTTATAAAGTGAACAACAATGGTAGATTTCTGGAGAAAAACAACTACTTTCCTGGCTAATGCCACGCAGAACATTGAATTACATCCTCCCGAAATCTATTCATCGACTCGTATAAACGCTATCTGAGTAGAAAGGAAAGAATCACTCCAAAACTGACGCCGAGTCGGCGGTCTTAGGACTGCTGGCTAGAGACTACACTGCACTGATGAGAGTCAAAGAGCTCGAAACCGGTCTGTGGTTGTCTAGCGTGGCCTGGCTGAATCGAAATCAATAGGCATTTAGGAAAGAACCACTTGTGTCAGTATTCGTTTATACGAGTCGATGCATAAATTTTGGGAGGATATAATTCAATGTTCTGCGTGGCATTGGCCAGGAAAGTAGTTGTTTTTCTCCCGAAATCTACCATTGTTGTTCACTCTATGAACATTGTGTGGAAATAACTTTGAGCTATTTGTATCTATTTAACATTTCATTCCACTTTGAGCATGGTGGCTATGGACTGAGTTCCTGCAAACCTCTTTTCCTGAGAAACGAAATATTGACACTAACTTCAATCTACTTTTTAGAAAATAACAATCGCACTACACAAAATACATCGAATTTATCATTAGTCTTTCATAAATCCACACTGATAAAAGACTCAATAATTCACAATCGTGTCAAAATGTATAATAGACCACCTGCAGAATTAAAGAACTTGGATTATCTTAAAACATTCAGAAAAAACTACATGAGTGACTGGCATCTGAAGCCTATTATAATTTAATAGAATATTTTGATGACGAAACTTTCGTTCTGATATTGACGGTGCTTATAAAGGTACTAATAGCAGGAAAGGAGTACGAGGATTCATGTGAAAAAACAAATGGTATTATAAAAAACATTGCTCACTGGTTTGAAAACAACGCCCTTTTATTGAACACATAAAAAAATGAATGCTGTTTTATTTAGACATAGTCGAAATACCGAAGATGTCCCCTCCCATATCCTCCTAAATGACAGAAATATCATATAATGCTAGTACGAAGTTCCTTGAACATCATAGGGTTTCCTTTCGTGCGCTCCAAAAAAATATATAAATTGGATAAATCATGTGCGACTGTTATGTGGCAAACTGAACAGATCCTGTTACTCTCTCAGAGAACTAAGAAAAGTTGTTGATAGCAATATTCTACTAACAGCATACTTTGGTCACTTCTACTCACTAATGAGCTATGGAATATTATTTTGGGGGGGGGGTCAAATTATCAAGAGGTTTTTATTGTACAAAAGAGAGCAACAAGAATATTATGTGGCTTGAAAATTAGTGACTTGTAGGACGCATTTCAGACATTTAAATCTGTTAACATTACCTGCAGTGTATGTGACATTCATTTAGTTGACATTTTTTAAAGAAGTTGAAAACCTGTTACCATGTATTTTTTATTATATTCTCGATTTTTATGCTTTTTCAGGGACCAGTAAATTCTTTTTCAGAATATGGCATGGTTTCGTGGGTTTTTTATCGGGTTTTCCTGCGGATGTAAAGCAAATGCACCATGATTCATTCAGCACAATAAAAGTCGCCCCGTTGCGCATTGGCCACATCATACATATTCTGAAAGGTTATTTCTGTGCTGTTTCTTATGACCTGTGATTTTGTCTTTTAAACGGATTGGTTTCTTTGGAAATTTGACCTGTACCACACACAATTATTATAGTTCTCTGTTATTGGTACTCAATAAATTCTATTCTATTCTATATGTAATGATATACAGGGTGGGTCACGGTCGATGGCACCTTAGACGTTTACGGAGAACGGGACATAAGATCATTCTGAAAATTTGGTTACTCAAGTAATTGCTCTTGATCTATCGATCTAAAATATTTTCAGCTCTGCGGCGTTGCCGCTTCTATCGAAAAGTAGCAACAACTTTGTTATTTTAAATGGAACACCCTGTATTTTATCGCATTTTCAGATTCTCACTGAGGAGTTGATTTCATCGATGTATCACACTTGGGGTCTAGCGGAAATGATTACAGAGATATAGGGTGTGAAAAATCGACATTTTTCAACTTTAGGATTTTTTTTTGTCGAAACTATTCATTATTGGTCAAAACGGCTCACATGTCCCTATCCCAACTTTTGATCAACTATCTACTGACATTTAATTGAAACAAATACAGGGTGGTGCAGAATTCAGATTCTTGATCACCCGGTATATGTCCCAATTAAATATCAGTAGATAGTTGATCAAAAGTTGGGATAGGGACATGTAAGTCGTTTTGACCAATAATTAATAGTTTCGACAAAAAAAATTCCTAAAATTGAAAAATGTCGACTTTTCACACCCTATATCTCTGTAATCATTTCCGCTAGACCCCAAGTATGATACATCGATGAAATCAGCTCTTCAGAGAGAATCTGAAAATGCGATAAAATACAGGGTGTTCCATTTAAAATAACAAAGTTGTTGCTACTTTTCGATAGAAGCGGCAACGCCGCAGAGCTGAAAATATTTTAGATCGATAGATCAAGAGCAATTACTTGAGTAACCAAATTTTCAGAATGATCTTATGTCCCGTTCTCCGTAAACGTCTAAGGTGCCATCTACCGTGACCCACCCTGTATAATGTGTATGTTAATCTGGATGTGATTATTCATATGCATTGTTTTCATATAATCATGTAATTTAATATTAATTTGAATGTAATCATTTTTATGTATTCTTTTACCAGTGTTTGTTACTAAGGTCCTGTATCTTGGGTAATAAACACATACTCTCTCCCTCTCTCTCTATTAGTTAGGAGAAATTGAAATGAAAATTGCTTGACGATTTGCATCAACTCTCCTATTGTTTCAGTTATCTGATGGTAGGATGCAACACTCTGAAGCTGGTTCTCAAACACTTTGGACCAGTAATAAGAAATAACATACAAGCGCCGATCGGAAGTTTCGGAGTGGACATCCCTCGAGAGGAGCGGTACCAGAAATCTCTCAAGTGCCAGGACATGCTCAGCCACATCAGATCGTTTATCGTGAAAAAGCAAACTCTGCCTGGCATCGGTACTTCCTTCAAGGAAGTGTATACACTAATGCAAAATTTCCTCGACTGACGGCCGCCCAAACTAGGTTTGCTCAAATTTAAGAATGCTAGCCTTTGAAATGGAATATTAGATAATAGCGGTATTAGAATTCGACATTTTATAATTGGTGACGCTTTAATGGAAAATATTTATTATTCCAGATTTTTTTGGGATTTTCTCCTCGTCTCTATTAAATAAAAATATGAATACTGTTTCAATATACTTGTAGTGAGGACAAATCAGAGGATTTGCCCCAAAATGTCACTGCGTTTAAAGAATTTTCCTTTCAAATTCACTAGCTTGTCAGTGACAATTTGTATTTGAAGTTGTTTAGAGAAGAGAAATGAAGGTATATAGAAAAAATATCAAATGTTCACTTATCTTTAGACGTTTCGGGAACGAATCTGCTCCCGTTTTCAACACAAAATATGGATTTTTTGTATGGCAAACTCGTATTTGTCCTGACACATCTCAGTTCTCAGTGACAATTGGTGACGTTGGCGATCAAATGAGTTACAGGATGTTTTCATTAATTAATCTTGAATTTACCATTTTCAGATTTCGGTAGTGAATACCATGTTCTATTTATATCAACTGAACAGGAAGCAATGCTATTGTCTCCGTTAAGATAAAAACCAGAAGAGAATAATCAAACAATCTGCTGGCACGTGGTATTCACTACTAAAATCTGGAAATGAAAATGGTAAATTCAAGATTAATTAATGAAAACATCCTGTAATTCATTTGAGTGCCAACGTCACCAATTGTCACTGAGAACTGAAAAGTGTCAAGACAAATAGGAAATTGCTATTCAAATATCCATTTCCGAAGATAAGTGAGAATTTTATATTTTTTCTATATACCTTTATTTCTCTTCTCCAAACCTTTTTCAATACAGATTGTCACTGACAAGCTAGTGAATTTTTCTTTTAGTCTCTCTGATAGGAAAATTCTTCAAACGCAGTGACATCATCTGATTTGTCCTCACTGCACATATATTGAAATAGTATCCATATTTTTGTTTTAAAGAGACGAGGAGAGAAAATCCCAAAAAAATCTGTGATAATGAATGTACCACCTTCTCGATTAACCTACAGACAGTATTTTTTGGGAAATATTAGTTATTCCATGATCAGTTGACAAAATCAATTATTATGGAAACGAGGATGTTGGCTCTTGGAGTTGAATGCTACATTTAATACACTAAAACCATGATTTGTTATGGATATTCAGTTGTTGCATAGAAAGTTAATTCATATGGATTCCTTAATTTTATCCAGTACTGAAAAGTAACCTAATACATAACATAACACTTTTCAATTCGTCAGGTATCTGCAATTCTGAATTCGTGAGCATAAGAAAGGATCGAAAACTGCATCTGATTGTGATCTCAACTACACTAGAGCAAGTGAAATAGACTGACTGACTGTCGTCGATTGAGATCGCGATCACACCAGATTCATATTTACAATAATTGATGAACTGTTGATTCATTAGTTGATACCTCTGTTATTTTGCTTTCTCTAAATTGGATACTCTTTCTCGACATTGGACATTACGTTTCTAACGTGGGGAAAAGCTCATTATTAGATTAAAAAATGAATCTTTCAATGCGACGATTGTGCATTTCTAACAACCTGAAAATGTTGATACAATCATGACACGTAATCCTGTTGTAAATTGAAAAAAACCGATGTTTCAAAAACGGATATATGATAAGATCAATATCTAGAATATAGATTCAAGTTGAAGCATTAGTTCAAGTATTAAAATAGCCTTAATGACTATCAAATTTTAGCAGTGTACTTGTAGATAACTCTAGGCATTATGTTCCTCAAGAATCAAAGATATTCAATACAATCTGATTATTGATTGAATAAGCATACAGGCCAAGTTTCATGTCGAATTCCCTCGTCCCATGGTCAGTAGATCGATAGGAAAACAAATATCGATAACGAATATATTCCTATTTCCTATTCCATGCCCATTAGAACCACATTAACATTAGATCTCAAAGCCGTTCTTCGTATACAGGGTGAATTGAAACAAACAAGATGGTCATCGTTTTGGTGATTATCAATTCGTCTCTCTGTCTTACATTTGATTATTTTCATTCAAAATCAGTTGACTTACTTTCTGGCTACCCTGTATGTTGCACTAGACAATATTTTGTACTCCCATCGAATGTTTCAGTTATTTTAACATAGAAATATTGTAGGTACAGGTCCATCAAAGAGGCCTATGTTCTCGTAATTTATTTCGTAATGTGTGATTTTTTTAATACAATATAGACATAGATTATCTGGCCTCCAATGTAACTTCTGCATTCGTTAACGGATTTTTTTGAAATTTGGTATAGTTATACAGCATGTCTCACTTTAAACGCCCCCTCCCCCTCCCCTATATCTCAGTTATTAGTCATGCGATTCTAACCAAAGTTGGTGTGGTATGAATAACCATCAATATGATCAGTTTTACAGAGATGCACATTATTTTGGACAGTGCCGTGCGTTTTTATTGAACAAAAAAGGGGTCGATTTTTCATAAAATCATATTAGGCAATTTTTTTTACAGGAAATTTAACCTCATATTCCATATGCAAAAAATCACCTAATTCCGAATTAACAGGATTGGCTTAATTTCTTTCATTTTAGTCTCGAACAAATAGTGAGTTCAAATCAACTACGAATTTCGGAACGTTTAATGGCTCCGGTAGGTGTAAAATCATGATTTGAAAGGAAAAACTAGTTATACTTTTTTATGTTGAACTCACCGTTCCCGAGTAAATAATTGTTACGTTCGCAAAAATACTGTTTAGATGTGCCTGTTTTTCTGAAACCCTTCATATGCATTTCATGAAAATTCACATATGTGAGTTTGAAACCATAAAGAACAATATTATGGAGTCAGTTTTCCAGTGAAAGAATGCCTAATATGATTTATCAAAAAACTGACCCCTATTCATTTCAATAAAAATGCACGGCACTGTCTACAATGATATTTGTCTTTGAAGAACTGGTCATATTGATGATTATTTATACCGATACAAATGGTAAAGATCGCACGACTGATAGCTGAGATGAGGGGGGGCCATTTGAAATGAGACACGCTGTATAAGCAACCATTTCGGATTTGATCAGTTTATATTCTCGGGAAGTGCCAGCAGCTTCATTTTCTGAAATGGAACGTCCTTTATATCTACATATTCTCTCTATGTCAAATGTCATTTTGATCAAATTGAAATTGAAATTGTATTTTATTTCACCTCGTGAATAAATGAGATGTGGTCAAGGCTATTCACAATGAGCCCCACATACTGGAGAAACCTAATTTCTAATTTCTTCTGAACAATTATTTTTGATATCACGTATCCATGCATCAATTCAGCCAAATCACATTTTGATAAAAAAATAATTTTTTTCAAATGGAACCCCTATGGGCTACCTACATGTCTCTACATAGGTACATTAAGAAAATGATGTATTCAGGTGCAGTAACGAATTATATACATTCAGGAATCAACAACTAGCTTTATGACTTTCTTTGCAGTACAAATAATTTCTTAAGTGAGCTGTGGAGAACAACATTTCTGAATCTTGTCATAAAGATTGCACTTGTTTTGACCTGTTGAACTTGAATTTGTAAAAAATACAGGGTGTTTCATTTGGCAAAACAAAGTTGCTGGCATTTCCAGGAAAACTGGAAGTCTGCCATATTGAATTGTAGTGTAATCAAATTCGAAATGGTTGTTTATATAACTACCAAATTCCAGAACGAACGAATGCAGAAGATACTGGGGTGGCCCGATACCCTGTGTCACCCGATATACATACCCAGTGTCACAGTGTCATCTCGGAAAGCACTCATTGAATATTTTCCTCATAATGATTGAAAATAAATGTCACATGTGCTTAGTATACAGGGTATACAGTATACAGGGTGTTTTCAACTAGGTGTAGAAAATTCAGGATCATGTTGCTGACGTCAAAATAAGAAGAAAAGTTCGTATAAACATATGTCCGAAAGTTATTCGTCTCTGAGATATAGAGTGTCAAAGTTGAATTTTTATTTTTGATTTTTGTTGATAAATTTCAAAAAAAGTTGTGATATTGGAATAAAATTTGGTATCTAGGGTTATTTTTCAATGACAATATAAAATTTTATGTTAGTTCGTCTCTTTCGTAGGGGTGGCGCCCCCTACATTTCTTTTGAGTCTTTTGAAGTCATAACTTTTTTGTGCGTACCTGTATAACGTTTTATAGTGAAAAAATAGATTTCTAGAACACTTCTATATAAAAAATATATTCTTGGTAGAGGTCGCTGCTAGCAACTGTTTTCGATGTTTTTGGGATTTGAAATAATCAATGCAAGTCATTTGGAATGACAAGAAGTTGGAATTCAAAATTGATTTATTGAGTAATTTAAATTATTCTTCTTTAATCACATTGAAAAATAGGAATCAGGTGTTATTACAATTCAATACTAATAATGATAATAGTAATTGAGACCAAATTGATACTGAAACAGTTAGTTGGAAAAGCTTGGATCACAAGTACAGAAGACAACAATCTTCACTGTCACGAAAGCGAATTGATATAAAATGACAAGTACTCACTTGATTGTTATTTTTTTAAATTGGAAGAGTCCAAAAAAGTAGGTACAAAGAAGTTAGAATCATATTTTGCCTACATTCCAATGTTGAATGTAGGAGAATATTGAATGAAAGAAGAAAAATGCACTGGCGTATCTTTTCTGATATCCGCTAGAGGCGACTTACTAGCCACATGGAAATAATTCAAATGCGTCGATTATTTCGAATCCCAATAACTCGAAAACAGTTGCTCGCAGCAACCTTTACCAGGAATATATGTTTTACACAAAAGTGTTCTTAGAAATAATATATTTGTCTATTATGAAACGTTATACAGGTACGTTATGACTTTTTAAAACACTCAGAAGACATGTAGGTGACGCCACCCCCACAAAAGAGACAAACTAACATAAAATTTGATATTGTCATTGAAGAATTCCCCTAGATATCAAATTTTATTTCAATATCATAATTATTTCAAAATTTATTTACAAAAAACAAAAATAAGAATTCAACAGAGTGTCACTGTATCTCAGAAACGAATAACTTTCGGACATATATTTATGCGAACTTTTCTTCTTAGTTTGACGTCAGCAACATGCTCCACGTACTTAAGAAACACCCTGTATAAAGCAATTGTTATTTGAGTTTTATAAATCAGAGTGTCTCATAATGGCACTGCCAAAATCATATTGCTGCTTATGAAGC